TTTTTTTTTTTTTTTTAAAGAGACCAAGTGCTTACATTGTAAAATGATGTCTCAATATTTTTGAGACTTAATATCATGGCAAAAATGTAAATAAAAAGAATGTGCAAAAATTGATTATCAATTTAGATCTTTTATTATGTTGCTCTTGCTCATATTTTATTTTATTCGAGTTTTTCTCTGTCTCAACATATATGTGTGTGGCATGTCTCAGTGTCCTATATTTTAGATATTAGCTATGTGGCGGGTGTCTATGTTGTGTTCAGTGGCGGTGGTAGAGTCTTTGCTTCTTAGGTGTTAAAATTGGCCAATTATGTTGTTGAATTTCATTTTCTCCTCTTTCTTTGCTTGGGCTTTATTTATCTTTGATTCTTTTTCTTTGATTTTTTCTGTGGCCAGCTTACTTGCGGTATCTGTTTTGAAAATTATCCTCTTGCTAGGATTAAAATGGCTCCCTGTGGTCATCCCTACTGTATGTCTTGCTGGGAAGGTATGTCTTATGTGCTATTACTCTGACCTTTTTGACCTCAGATATAATCTGGCATCATATTCTTTTGTGACCTAAAGATATAACCTGCCATCTGGTGATTATGTGCATTTTGGCTTTGGTTGCGATTTTCCTCTTTTTATTTGTTTCTTTTTTTGTTTTGGGGGGGGGGGGCGTGTTAGGGAAGCTTAGGTAACTTGCTGTATGTATTGCTTAATGTCCTTTCCTTCTGTTATTTATTTATTTATTTTTCTGTCGTTTCACGTTCTTCTGCCCTTTTTGACATGCTAGGCTATATTAGCACATCCATTAATGATGGTCCTGGATGTTTGATGCTGAGATGTCCTGATCCCACTTGTGGTGCCGCTGTTGGTCAAGATATGATTAATCTTATAGCATCCGAAGAAGATAAGCAGAAGTATGCACGTTACCTTCTTAGATCTTATATTGAAGACAATAAGAAGGTGTGTCCTAGATACGGAATTATGATGTTGATAATGATAGTGAAGGGGGATATTTACTTTTCTTGATACTGCCAACTAAAATCTACATCTCATGTTTTCCACGTATCATTTTCATTAAATGTTCATATTTCTTTGCTTGTCAAATCAAGTGTTTGACATATTTATTTTATCCTGGCCAAACAGGGATATAAGAGACTGTTTATTTTTGTATTTTTTTTATTTATGAAAAACACTTTTATTTTTTTGTAAAAGATTGCTATCAATTTTTAGCTTGTTTGTTGCAGCTTTTGAAAAAAATCAGAATCTGGAAAAAAGTAAATCAAATTTCTGATAATTTTGAGTAGCTTCTAAAAAAAATTGTAATTATAATTACTAGTTGTAACCAAATTAAAAATAACAGCTATTTTTCATATGAAATGAATCACTTTTTTTATAATTCCTAAGTTAGAAGCTTGAAAAATGGACCCTAATTTATAAATCATGTGATTAATGGTTCACTATTTATCTCATGTGATAATAACCGGTTCTACTTTTCTTAATCATTATTAATATATATATGTCTCAATGTCTGACCAATTTTATTTTTGACTTCATTTTATCTAGTCCAAGTGGTGTCCTGCTCCAGGTTGTGAATATGCAGTTACTTTTGATGCTGGTAGTTGTGGAAACTATGATGTCTCTTGCCTATGTTCACATAGCTTTTGTTGGAATGTAAGTTTTGCATGGTTTTTTCAGATTGTTACAGTTTTGCATTTTAGAATCTTTGTTTTGCCAACTGTTGTGTATTTGGATTGGATCTACAGTGCACTGAGGAGGCTCATCGTCCAGTTGACTGTAGCACTGTGGCAACATGGATTTTGAAGAACAGTGCAGAGTCTGAAAACATGAATTGGTAGAGATTTCTGGAAGAATTTTGCTCAAACAGATTTCTGCTAGTAATTGAAGTTGTGATATTCTCAAGAATTATGGACATCTAATTTTTTAAATGGACACTTTTAATGAAGAGCATTTGAGTTTTGCTCATACCGATATCTGTTAGGGATGAAAAGTTGTCCGGAGTTTTTTGCTTGAATCAGGTTAAATTTTGGTTAACAGGTGTTATTCCTTCAATTGAAGGAAAGAAATAAATAAAACACAGAACAGTGTTTTACTCGATGTTTGGATTTTCTTGGCAAACTTTCCAGAAACATTCATAATCTGTTAATTATTAGAAATTAGGATTATATATTCTCTTCATCTCCTTCACGATCCTTGAATTTCTTCTATATATTACAATTTAGTTAAGGATAAACTGGGGCTTTTTTGTGTAGTTGAGACTTGAGAGCTTGAACTTACTGTTAATATGATGAATTTCAGGATACTTGCCAACTCAAAGCCATGTCCCAAGTGCAAGCGACCAATTGAAAAAAATCAAGGGTGTATGCACATAACATGCACACCGCCCTGTAAATTTGAATTTTGCTGGTATGCATTTTCTTTTCTTTCTCCCTTTATAATTTTTTTCATCTAAGCAGTTGGTAATAATTTGGGGCTTTTTTGGATAGTTGAGACTTGAAAGCCTGAAATTACTGTTGATTGAAGACTTTTTAGGATACTTGCCAATTGAAAGCCATCCTTTTTTTATTCATTTATCATTATTATTGTTGTTGTTGTTGAAGATTGGATGTGGAAAACAGTGGGGGTGGTTATTTTCTTTACTGAGAAGGAAATATAACTTTTGGGGGGTGGTTGACCTTGTTCTCAAGTAGTTTGAGCTTATATGAATTTAAAATATTTCATCTATATAGGCTATGCCTTGGTGCATGGTCAGACCATGGTGAAAGAACTGGTGGTTTTTATGCGTGCAATCGTTATGAAGCAGCTAAACAAGAAGGAGTGGTAAGGGGCTTGCAAATACTTAACTCCCAGTTCAGGTTTCAGGCTATTATTAGCTGTCTGTTCTGTTCACATCTATTTGGATAATGATTAGCTTATGTGCTAAATTTTGTTGCATGTAGTATGATGATACTGAAAGAAGAAGGGAAATGGCAAAGAATTCGCTGGAGAGATACACACATTATTATGAGCGGTGGGCCAGCAATCAATCTGTATGCCCCAGTTGATACTGTTCAGTAGTCATGTCTTAGGACTTTGTTTTCTGCAATTTCTGAATTGATTCTATCGTATATCTTGCTTGTATTTCTACCATCTTGATTGCTAAATGAGTAATTTTTTAAGTAGCTTTTAGTAGCATTGGTCTATTAGTCTGACCAAATGATATAAAATTCTGTTCTTACTATTCTCTCTCCCCTGATAAAAAGTTGAATTTCAGCATTAGATTGGTGGGTTTGTGCAATATCTATGCTTCAAGCATAAAGTGCTCATGTGATTGGGCATGTTAGAGATGTAATATGAAATCCTTGTGTTTTTTACTTGGCAAAAGCTATGAGAAGAGGCAGTCCTTGACAGTGTTTGTGCCTGAACTAATGAGGAATGTTTTAATATGCTTCATATTTTAAATGCCCATCATGCGAAAGGATGCTAACTCAGTAATTTCTAGTGGTTTATACTTTATATGTTAATGGACATTGATTTGTTAGCGATTCTCTACTTTAAACTGTGTTCTGTATTATTATTATTATTATTATTAAATCAGGGTATATGCATTTAAACCTGAGAATATTTCTCATGTGGATATATTATTTATTTGATATAACAGTGGAATATACTTTTTCTTGTTTTACAGTCAAGGCAAAAAGCTCTTGCAGATCTACAGCAGATGCAAACTGTTCATGTAAGTTACATCTACATTTGTTATGTTCAGCCATCCTTCTTCAAAATATTTTTTAGTTTGTATGTAACTTTTAGCAACTGAAAAAACATTGTTTGCACTTGTAATATATATTTTTCAAGCATGTTTCACTATGTTTTAATGAATATGCAATTCCTAATATTGTAGCTTATTTTTCCAAGTCATCAATCAAAAGATATTTTCTTCGTACTTTTTTTGTTCTTGCATATCTTTTGTTTATGCTCCTAGGGATCATATATTTGCTCACTAATCCTCTCTCTTTCTCTTTTTAATTTTTGGGCTGCAGATTGAGAAGCTCAGTGACATACAGTGTCAGCCTGAATCACAGCTTAAGTTCATAACTGAGGCCTGGCTACAAGTAATTATTGTTTTCATAATGTTTTGTTTATTATGCTGTGTAATGAATTATGAAGCTTTAACATGTGTTTTTAAAGTGCAAGAGTATACCAGTTCTTCTCCCCCTGTGGGACAGTTTCTAATGCTGTCGCTATTATTTGAACTATCTGCTGAAGTTTGTGATTTTGTGAGAAAATTCTTTAGTGCTAATAATCTTATTATGGATTTCTTTGCTATTATAGCTAGGGATTTTCAGTGACAGCTGGGAGTTGCATAAAATTCATTTCGGCGTGAAATAGATGGCTTTTAAGTGTTTCATGTTTTTTCAGATAATTGAGTGTAGACGAGTGCTGAAATGGACATATGCATATGGGTTCTATTTACCGGACAATGAGCATGCTAAAAAACAGTTCTTTGAGTACTTGCAAGGTTTTATTTTTCAACCTGAGTTTAATTAGAAATTTTTGTGGTAATTCCTCCGTACATAATAATAATACTAGATTATAATTTGTTTTCAGGTGAAGCAGAATCTGGTCTGGAGAGACTTCATCAATGCGCTGAAAAGGAACTACAGCCATTCCTATGTGGAGATGATCCATCCAGAGAATTCAATGACTTCCGTACAAAGCTAGCTGGATTGACTAGGTATACATTACTCATGTTTTGTTAAGCATTTACCTTGAGCTCTTGATTTTATATTGGGTGTTCCAATTGGAGTTTTCTGGTACATATGTTTTGGCAGTGTGACTAGAAACTACTTTGAGAATTTAGTAAGGGCATTAGAGAATGGTCTAGCTGATGTGGATAGTAATGGAGGTGGCTTAAGCAGAGCAACGAGTTCAAAGAGAATTTAGTAAGGGCATTAGAGAATGGTCTAGCTGATGTGGATAGTAATGGAGGTGGCTTAAGCAGAGCAACGAGTTCAAAAAATGGCGCTGGGAGCAGCAAGGGAAGAGGCGGAAGAGGAAAGGGAAGTTTTCGAAGCAGCATGTCGAGCAGAATGAATGATGATGGTCACTGGTGTTGCGAGCATTGTACCTATGCAAATGTTAAATCTGCCTCCACATGCCAGATGTGCTATCAACAGCGTCGATGAAAAGCTCACATGGAATCATTACTCTCTCTGTATCTCTAGATATATGCTGTCTCAATTTTCTGAGGCTCTTTAAATACAACCCAATTTGTTGTATATAGTGTTCTATCATATTTACGTTTCAGGTTTTCCACTCTTTCAGTTGCTCTCCTTAGCTTCCAAAAACCTAGGTTTAGTCGTGTATAATAAGCTCACGGTTTGAATGATTCCATTCCGATAAATTATAAGGGATTGCAATAAATATGATACTACATCACTTGAAAATTATTATGGCATCTTGTCAACTTTTGTGCTTGGAACTTATTGGATGCTCAATTTGTCTCCCAACTAAGGGTATGTTTGGTTAATTATTTTTACAAGTACTTCTAGGAGAAGAATACATGAAAGATTTTTAAAATTAACTTATCTATAAACTAATTTATATAAATTTTCTCATATTAACTTTTTAAAAAAATTATTTTTAACTTAAATGGAAGGTCTGACGTCTGACCCAAGGTCGATGCGGTGGTACTGCTTTTTTTTTTTTTTTTTAATAGTAATTTTTAATAGTATTGTACAGGACGTGTGTTGAAGGGCATAGTAAAAAACTGATTAGTTTGATATAATATAACAAAAAAGAAAAAGTGGGGATAGGGTGTTATTTGGAACGTAGTTCAACAGTTGAATGTAGAAGTGTAGTAGTGGTTTGCGCATAGTCTTTTCGTGGGGAGGTCCCCAATGGGTGATGGTGAACAAAGGCCCCTCCCGATAGAGGACCACAACTCAAACAATCCACCGCAGCTAACAAGAAAAAAAATTAATATAAGACAGATAGACGACATAAAAAACGAATGCGTAAAAAAATTGCATTGTCAAAAAATAATTTCTGGAATTAATATTTTGTTGGAGTAAAATATAAATTTATTCTAAGAATTTTTAACTTACTTTCATTTGCTATTTAATGTAGCTTATATATAAGTTTTAATTTTTTTTTCCTTTCATTGTTTATCATCATTAATTTATTTATATATTTTTTAATTTTTTCTGACAAGTACATATTTTAATTTAGAATCCCTTCTAGGCTTCTACTTATCTTGTCATTTTCTCACTCATTATCAAATAAACAAAAGTCATTTATGTCATTTTATATTGATGAACTGGTTTATCGATTAATTTTATCAAATATTTTTAATTTAATTAGTTAATTTATAAACTTATGATTTTTTAGCTTCTAACTAATAATTTACTACCTTCGATTCTTATCATAGGACCTAAATTTTTAAATTGATTTGATTTTTTAAATAACATCCAATCTATTATGTCTCAAATGTTAATTTTTTCATCACAAAAAATATCATTATTGAATTTTTTTTAATTCAACAAGTGAAATCCATTTAATATATATCTTTTGAGATACAAGTTGTTTCATAATTTTGGTTTTTTAATGTAGAAACTTTGAAAACATGTCAAGTGTCTCATTAATATAAAGATAGTTTTAAAAAAATCAAGACATTTATTAATCTTAACTATTTTTTTTAATTATGATGAAGTAGTTAATTGGGTAGATCCGAAAATAACATGTAGCTACCACTTCTGTGATAAATACAAAAAACAATAATCGTCCGACACACACACACACAAAATACTGTTATGAATACAAAATAGCACACCCTACTCCACCTTCAGTAATTGTACAAAAAAGAAAAACTAATTGTCCAACACATTGAAAATAGCATTTAGCAATACAACGTTTCAGCAGTTACCAAGTCTATTAGGCTAATTGAAATCCCACACATTTAATTAATATGAAGGGTCTATTATATTAATAATAAAAAATAATTGAGATGAAATTTAAATTTAAGGTGGCCACATTTACAAAAGATACAAAATTTAAGATAGTTATATACTTCTTTTCTCGATTATTGACCTAAGAAAGTTGGAAAGACGAAAGTAAAGGAGTATTTGGGAAATAGTTCAATTGGATCTAATCCGCACGTTTTTCTTTAAATCCAACAATGTTGCTTTCTTCATCTTGTTAGATGACTAAAAATGTAATTCAAAGACATTATGGTAAGTTTTATTTTTTATTTTATTTTTATAAATATAATCCACACAGAATCTTAAAATTGATTAAAGATTAATTTTTTTTTTCATTCCTGGAATATCTACAGCCGATAGCAGTAACTAATCTCCTCGTTACGTTAGAGGTACCTCAAAGGATGGGATAACTGGCCCAAGATTAATTTACACTCACGAATCACGATTTCTAATTGTTTAACGTCATTTTAACGGTAAATTCTCTGACGGACCATTTAAAGAAGTGGTGC